TGGTCCGCCGTAGCTATAGTAGTTAGTTAGCTGAGAAGACGCACCAGAGTCGTCGTTGCGAACTGGCCGGCGAAACGCGCGCCAGCCAAGGCAGCTTCGACGACAAAAATAATAATACCTGTGGGTAGCCGAGCGCTGGAGGGAGGGGAGGGAGCAAGGCTCCACCTTGCCCGGCACGGAAATCCGCACGGCATGATTTATTCGACACATTTGGGGAGATAGTAGTATGAATAATAATGAACCTTGTGTGTGAATGAGAGAAGGGAGGCGAGTTGAGTTGCAAGGAGCGGACCATGTAACGCTCTCAGGCGTGGTAAGATTATGATTTTTACTTGAAAAAAAAAAAGCATATCGAGGAATCGGGCATACACGATACATGCTGGTGCTGGGAGGTTTCATTAGCACGGGCATTGTGGCAGTGCAAAGTACATCACAACCCTCAATTCTACCCTCCCTCGCTCTTTTTCGCATTGACTGTGTCTTGCCAGGCGACGTGGGCGGGAGATTTGATGATGACAAAATAATACATAGATAAATGAACCATCGCAACCAGCCCGCCCCTACCCTGCTGCCCTGTCCTGCCTTGCTCTGCTCTGCCATGTCCCTTGGACACAACTCCAAGCAATATGGGGACCAACTCCAACCACACGCACACGCACGTACAACCCACAGCCATTAGTTAGTTAGTGTAAGGCGCGCGCGGGCTCCGGGAGAACACAGACTTTTTTTTTTGTTTTTCTCTCTCTCTCTCTTCCTTTTCCTCTCCCTTGCAGCGCGCGCGCGCTGGGGCCACCCAACCCACCCACGACTCACACACGCCCCCCCACCCCATCCGCGGCTGATGCGGATGGAGCCCCGGCGGGTGGATGTTCTGGAAAATTATTCCCAACTCGGCGCAAGTAGGATTTTTTTTGTTTTTTTTTTCTTAACGCTGACACACCACGCTAAGGGCGAGGCAGCGGTCCCCGCGCCCAGCAGGTGGGAGGAGCAAGACAGGTAGTAGCAGCGAGCAAGCAAGGCAGGCAGGTGAGTTAGTTGAGTGGGTGGTATCAGGAAACGAGAAAAGAAAATGTATGAAGGTCGTAGTGCTGAGGAACTAGGTAGTTAGCTAGCAGTAGGTTGGTTAGTTGGTTGGGTTGGTTCAAGCAAGAAAGGTGAGTGTAGTAAACGGAACTAATAATAATAATCATAAATGACGGCACAGTGTGCAAGTTATGCGGGTATGCATGCACGGCTGGCGGCACTCTGGCTCGGTGGACAGACACCAATAAGAATGATAATGCCCAGCCCCCGGAACAAGCACAAACGGGGGAGCATCCTTCAGCCTAGGCGGTTTCGGCTGCCGTCGTTAGCTACTAGTAGTACCAAGTACTCCGTAGTAGCTGGCCCGTCATCGTCGCCGTGGTCGTCGTCGTGCGTCGTCAGGGCCAGCTAACGAGCCAACTAACAGGTAACTAACTAGTCAGCCCGGCTAGCTAACTAGCTAAACCACGTCCGGTAGTTAGTTCGTTCGATCGTTAGCCCGCTTGCCTAGCGCGCTCCTTTCGCCCACCGCTGGAGAACAAGTCAGGCAAAAAGCTTGTCGGCGACAGGAACGAAATAATATGGGCGCGCGGGCGGGTTCTCGAATAGCCGTTTTGGGCAGTGCGACCGACCGAAAGCACCCAGCGCGCGCGCCAGTGTCACAGGCCCGCGGCGCGCGCGCATGGATGGAATGGTGGGAAGGGGGAAGCGCAATGTAACTAAAAAGAATCATAAAATAGTCAATTAATCTTGCTGAGGAGTTTCTCGCTAGAGCTAGCGAGCGCTGGCTCTTGTGTGTGTGTGTGTGTGTGTGGTCCTCGGTCCTCTGCCTCCGCCCTACACCGCCCACGAGGGACGTAACTCTGCGGATACGATCGCGAACGGGCTTGATCGGGGTGCGGCCAGGCTGCCGCTCGACTCGTGCGTGGGGACGGTCGCTCGTTCGCTCGCCTGCCAGGCCCAGTACGCTGCAAACCGGGTCAAGAGGAGTCAAGGGGGGGTAGTGTCCATCTTGTCTTGTTTCTGTTGTTGCTTGCTCTTGAACATCACATCATCCGCATCATCATCATCATCATCCTCCTCCTCCTCCTCCACCAGGCCGCAACTCTGCCCTCCCCGGGTGGCCCTACAAGGATGGCCATGGGGGGGGGTACGAGGCTAGCGCGACGCCAGGATCCAGGATGGGCTGCTGTGAAGCCCCGGCCCCGTCCTGGCCGCTTCGACTAACTAACTAACTAACTACTCGCAACCCGCAGCGCCAGGCCCGCCGCCACAGCAACAGCAACAGCGCAGCGCAGCGCAGCGCATCGCATCGCATCGCATCCTGGAGCGATCCAGACAGGGGGTAAAACTCGTTAGCAGCGAGTTAGTTATACGAAGCGGGCGCCGGGCTGGCTGGCAGGATGGCTGGCTGGCGCGGGCTGGGGGCTGGGCGCGCGGGCTGTCAGGGAGCCCAGGGCGTTGGCCGAGTGCGAGTCAGACAGACAGACGCGTTGCTGCTGGCTGATCGCAGCGCGCTGGTGTGGTCTTGTTGTTCTTGTTGGGCGGTGGGTTTTGCGGTGCAAGTGCGCGGTGGCGAGCACAACGGCCGGGCACCCGTCCCGGCCCTGGGAGGATTAGTTAGTCAACTAGTTAAGCGGGACATGTGCCTGGAGGCCTGCACCCGCGCCGAACTACCCGAGCAGGCGAAAAGAAAAAAGCTGGTTGCTGGCTCGCCCAATTTCCACAAGGCTACAGGGCTGGCCGTTCCCGTCTCGCCCGGCAGCGTTTCATGTCTCGGGGAAATCTGCCTGTTGTTTCACCCAGCACATGTTGTTTCGACTGCCGCCCAAGCAGCAGTGCTCGTTGTCCTCGCGCGTGCCCCAAGGCCCAGCGGCCGCGGCCAGGCCCCTGGGGAGGCAGGATGCCCGGGCATGAAGCCGGCGCCCGCGCGCGCGCACACACACACACACACACACACACAGACGCACGTAGAGACAGAGACAGCATAGCGCCAGGGCAGGCGCGCGCACGCCGGCCAATTTCACGACGGTGGGCATGCCCCGGATCGACAGGCCAGGCCCGGCCAGGGAGACGACAATCAAAAGGACGTGAGACACTCATATAATAATAATCAATGGGGCCGGGGCCCTGAAGCGTTCGTTCGCGCGTGCGTGGGTGCGGGCGGGCGGGCGTAACTTGGTGTGTAAGGATGCGAGCGTACGGTACGTACGGATACGTAACGAACGCCGCTCAGCCCTACCGCGGGCCATGATACTTAAGCAAATGCGAGTCGCAGCTGGCCGCCGCTGCGCTGCCCTGCGCTGCCTTGCCCGCTGCCCGCCCACACACCACCGACCCCCCCCTTCCCCGCTGGCTGGCTGGCTGGCTGCGAGTCTGGCTGCTAGTTAGTCTGGCTTGTCTTGTCGTCTCTTTTTCCCTTCTTCCTCCCTCTCTCTCTTTCACTCTCTCTCTCTCTCTCTCTCCTCTACCTCTAACCTGCTCTCTACTACTGTCCCTGCCAGTGCCAGCTGAACCACGGCCCATTGGGACCCGCTGCCCGTTGCCACAATCGCCACTGACAACGCTGCCTGCCGGTCCATATCCGCCGCCGCCGCCGTCATCGCGCCGCGCTCGCTGCCACTTCTACTACCTACCACGACTTGCTACTGGTCCTGACAGCCTGCCCGCCGCCCCGGCGCTGCTGTCCGCTCTCGCTGCCCGGATTGATGTCCGACGAGCATGGACAAGCGCTCTCGACTGGCTCCTTCGCCGCCCTCCATCCGCGTGTGTGACGTGAACCCCTACTCTCTACCTATCACCACCTCCACTACCACCCCTCTCGCCGCCGCCGCCGCCGCTGCCCTGCCCGTCCGCCTGCCCTCGCGCCGCTCCTCCCGCCAACCCTCCGATCACCGCTCCCCGTCCTCCCCCTCGTCATATGGCACGCCAATGCCTATCCCACAGTCCACCCACGCGCCGCTGGCGCCGCCGCCCTTGCCGCCACCGCGATACATCGAGGACCTGGCCCACGGCCACGACTCCGGCTGGAAATGGGGGAACTCCTTCGAGGGCAAGCCCACCCTCGCCCCGATAAAGGCCTCCTCCAGCCTCTTCGGCGGCAGCGCCCACGCCCGCCCGTCTTTGCTCCGCCGCGACGAGTCCTTCTCCTTCGCTGCCGCTGCTGCCGCTGCCGACGACTTCGCCCAGCCTGCCGCTGCTCCTGCTGCTGCTGGCAGGATGTCAGCCTCCACCAGCCCATCGTCCGACTCCAGGCCGTCTGCTGCTACGCTGTTCCCCGCCGCCGCCTCGCCCGCCAGCTCACTGGCTGCTTCTAATAATATCTCCAATTCACGGTTCGTCCGTTTTTTTTTTTTTTTTTTTTTAGTGACATCTGACTTTTTTAAACCCCCTCCCTTGTCCCTCTGTCTTTTTTGCCTCCCCAGGTGCAGATCATCTCCATTGATCCTAGTACAGAGCAATATTTTTGTTTTTCCTTCTTCTTTTAAATTCGGTGCTTGCTGCGTCTCGCCCGGCAGGGTTTGACACGAGTATAAAATGGCACCTAGCCGTTGCGAGACCCCCGGCCCTTGAAACAAAGAAAAACAAACGGCTGCTTTTATGACTTGATTTTTGATTTCTGCGCTCTGCAAGCTCGTTGTGTGACGAAATCGTCGCTAACCATAGCCCCATGGTCCATGCCTTCTGGGAGTAGGATGGGATATAGCCTACAAGGAGAAAAACCCCTTTCACAACAAAGCGTGGAACGCTCGTCCAATGCCTACGACCAACACCTGCTTTCGAAGATCGGGAAGCCCGGGTCGCCGCCGCGCGCGCCGTCGCTGAGCGCGCCCGCCAGCAACGCCGGGCTGCCCTTCCACGCCAAAACGCGCACGCTGTCGACGCTTTCGATCGGCGATGGCGCGCTCAGCCCGCGCGACGTGCCTTCCCGATGGGGCAGCGGCCCCCCGTCGGCCGCGATTTCCCCCGGCACCAAGATGGGCGCCTGGGCGGATTACGTCAGCTACCCCAGTCCGTCCGCCGACAGCGCCGTGCACTCGCCCATGGACGTCGACGGCTTCGCCCACGCCCGCGATCGCTACGGCAGCGGTGCGTCCGCACGCCGCGGCACGGAGGAGCGCTCCCGGGCGGCGGCGGCGGCGGCGGCCAAGGCTAGCTACGACCACGCCATGTTTCCAGAGCCCGAGGCCGATTTCGCCATGGACGACGCTGGCCCGGCGCGCCAGCACAGCCTGCCCGGCCGCATGCTGTCGTTTGCAGATGGGCTCTCGCCCGTGTCGCGGCACGGCATGAAACGCCGCGCTTCCTCGCCGCCGCGGGGCGCCGCAGCGGACCCGATGTACGCCTTCGCGGACGTCGTCGAGAATCGGGACCGCAGGCAGCTGGGGCTCCGATCCAACAGCTGCACGTCACCCAGCACTTCCCGCTACCCCGTCAGCCACGGGTCGATTTCGTCGATCTCGAGTCTGCGCACGGAATCGTACGGCTCCTCGACCGGGTTCTCGGTCGCGGCGAGCAGCATTACGTCCTTTGGCGGACGATCCCCGGGCGCCATGTCACCAACGTCGGAGCTGGAGACGTGCTATGAAAAACCATATTTAACACCCGCGCCCCACCGCGCGCAGTATTCCGACCTGGTGGATATCAAAGGATCCGTGTCGCGAAAGGGATCGACGCAGAACGGCATTAGCCTGTCGAAGCCTACCGCTCCAAGGATAGGAAGGTTGTATATTTGCGAGTGTTGCCCGAAAAAACCCAAGAAGCTAGAGAGTTTAGAAGAGCTACGGTATGATACTGAGACAGGGTTTCGTGCAGATAATGCCGATGACGACTAATCATTTATTATTTGAATCCTAGGGCCCATGAGCTGGAAAAGCAATACACCTGCCAATTCTGCAACAAGCGGTTCAAGAACAAGAACGAAGCGGAACGCCACCAGAACTCGCTCCACCTGCGGCGCCACTCGTGGTCGTGCGCGGCACTGTCAAATCCCGAGTCGGCTTTCCACCCTTCCGCGTCGCCGGCGTACCAGACGCCCAACGGCGCGTCGCACGACACCTGCGGCTACTGCGGCGCGGAATTCGCCAACTTCCCGGCGCCGGAGTGGGAGCGGCGCATGGACCACCTCATCAACAGCCACAAGTTCGGCGAGTGCAACCAGGCCAAAAAATTCTACCGCGCCGACCATTTCCGCCAGCACCTCAAGCACAGCCACAACGGCGCCAGCGGCAAATGGACCAACACCCTGGAGAGCGCCTGCATGAAGGAGGAAGCGCCGCACGAGGGCCTGCCCAGCATCGGCGAGCAGCCCGGGGACCATGCCGAGAGCGAGGGCAGTAGCAGCACCAATGCTGCTGTGGTGGCGGCGCATCACCCGCTGGATGAAGTGATGACAGGCGCTTGATATCCCCCCTTTTTTGGGGGGGGGAGCTGTTTTTTCGTTTTTTTTTCTAGTAAATTTAATGTGATTACTCCGTACTCGCGGAATGGGTAACTAGCGGGGAAAGGCGGCCTTTTTTTTCCCTCTCTCTCTGTCTTTCTTATTATATCAACGCCGTGGGGAAAAAACACAATCCGGTTTGCTTTTCAAACAAGGCATGCCTCCCATGACTTTCGATTCCTTTTTCATTTCTCGGTGTGTGTGTGGTTTGATTGGCCTGAAAAGAACGATAATTGATTTTCCTTGGCTTTTTTATTCTATTTTATTCCTATTTTATCATTTCTTGAGATCCCAAACTAAATTGCAACGGCGGGCACATGGGCCTTTCAAGTGTTTTTTGTTTTTTTTGTTTCTTTCTGCCGCCCTTCTGGAAGCCTGTTTTTTTTTTTTCTTCTTCCCTCTGCCCTTCGATTATTCTTCTTTTTCGATTCCGCAAAACTTGGCGGGCGTGCAGATATCCCCCCCTACCTTGCGCCGCCCCCCTGCCCCCTTCTTGGCTGCTTCTCTTCTTGGCTGCGCCGTTCGCCCGTCCTCCGTTTCGAAAAGAGAGATCGGAGCGTCAAGACTGACAAAGCTTCTTTCTTTCGAGCCTGCTTTTAGAACCAAAAAACCCCCCCCCCCCCTCCCCAAAAAAGCAGGATGGAACTCTTTCGAAAATCTGGGACTTCTTCGTTTTTTCCCCTCGTTCCCTGTCCTACTCACCCCTCACTTTCACCCTATCCTCCCGCCTCTTCCTCCCCCTCTCTCTCTCCTCCTCTCTTTTTCCGTCTTTTCCTGCTTCTTTGTCTTCTTCTTTTCTCCTTTTTCCACTTTTTCTTTGTTTTTTTTCTGTCCTTCCTACTTCCTTCTTTTTCTTTTCT